CAAATTTGGCTTGTTAACACTGGATATGTGAAACTGAAAGCAACTTTGTCAACAGATCTAAGTTTCCACTTAGTTTTAACTGCCAAAGTTATTATGTCATTATTTGATGTTTTTGGTTTACATACATTTTTATGTAAGTAATTTTTTAATGAATATTAATTTTTGTAGCAACACTACATAGGAATCTTGGAAATATGTTTACATTTTGTGCTGCCCAGGAACATTGCGCACTGGTGGCTCAGAGCCAGGAAAGTTTCAGTGGGGTGGCCAGGATGGATCTGTGATCATTTTTGGGTGACATGCCTCATAAAAATACAGGGCTATTTAAGCACCTGTAAGTGTTACTGAAAAGATTTATGGACACACCTAAACAACACACCTCTACTGTAACGGACCCGGCCCTCTCTGTTGGTTCTCTGGTCTCCCTTTTTCTCATTCTCTATTGTGTGTGTATGCATGGGGCAGTGGGCAGGACTCTCCCTGAGTCCCTGCCCTACTCACCTGTGTCTGATGAGCAATCTCATCCCCTTCTCAAAGCCAGGGTGGACAGCCATTCATAGCTGGATTGTTGACCTACCTTATTAGTGAAATCCCGTCTCTTCCTAATTGAAACTAACTGTGGTCCCTTGTGGTTTCCAGCAGTGATTGTTAGTGATGGTGAGATGAAGCCCCGTGATGAACTGAGGCTTTCCATTCAACTGGTCGACTCATGGTTCGAAGCATTGTGATGATTCATTCGCTCTACTGCGCTATCAAGTGGACAATTCCAGTGAAACAGGCTCAATGATTATAAGGATGTGATGTGTAAACCTCTAAACTGAATAAATAAATTGTTTTCATGGTTATTTATCCCAAATATTGTCTCAGTATGTCTGATACAAAAGATACAGTGGAAACTATCAGGACAGAGTTTTGGTATGATTGTGTTACTGTGTAATCATGCTTGTACATCTGGATAATGACACAAACTAGGGTGTGGCGCTTCACTTTAATAAACTAAAAGACAGAAATCAGATTATAGGATCTGTAGTGTTGTTTATTTATATTATGGTACTTATCATTTGTGATATTTACTACTGTGTGCATACCTTATTAGGAGAGATGAGATCAAAATGTTGCCAGACAGGGGAAAATCTTCTCTTCCTTGCTGGTTCCATCGAAGAAGAAATGCTCAAGTAACTATGTAACACTATGTAACACTATGTAACACGTACGTCATCCAATTCCACAACACAATGTGATGGGGGAATCATTTTATTTCGAATCTGGTACGAACCGGAGAGCCAGTTCCTGAATCAGTCACGTGGTGCGGACTGCCTGCGGGGCCTCGAACGTCACTGCATACGTAATTAAAGCAAGCCTCGATACGGGCTTAATAAAAAGTCCCCCGAGATTACCCGACACATGCTTCGAAGCTTCGACACAGAGGACACATCACTAGTGATTGTGTGTTTTTCCAGTGCATAGGTTGTCCGATAAATGTCGCTACCTGTCCTGTTCCATGATGAAAGGTAAGAGAGAGTACACCTGAAAAGTGAGAGTGAATTTTCATGTCGTGTGGATAGGATGTTGGGATTTCGCCCCCCTGTCTTCCTCTCTCCGGATCACTCTCAGGATTACCCTTGTTCTGCACATTGCATTATCTTCTGTTATCTGTAATTAAACCTTCTAAACCTTAGATGCGAGTCCCGCCTCCAAGTCCTGCTCACCTGCTCCAGACCTGACATCTACAATATCTGAAATGCAGGTAGCAGTGGAAAAGATTAAATAATATTCATTGCATTTAACTTTTTTCCTTATTTGTGCTGATAAATTAACAAAAAAGCTTACACTATACCAATTTTGCACAATTTAGAATAGAATAGCCTTTATTCTATGGTATATTTATAATGAGCTGAGGTGGGAAGTAACCAAGTACAAATTCGTTACTGTACTTAAGTACAATTTTAAGTTATCAGTACTTGAGTCGTTTTTTGTGACTACTTTTTTTTTTTTACTTTTACTCCCTACATTTTTAAATAAAACGCGATTAGCTGGAAATGCAAAGTCCATCTCGTCCGCTGTTTTTAAGACTGCTGTGAACATGTCGGCTTCCACAAACTGGAATACATCAATTTGTTGGAAGACATAATTATACACTAATCATTGTATGTTTATGAGTACAACATTTTTTGTCTATGAAATAACCTTATATCCAATACAAAAATGTTACATTTATTAAGAGGGATGCTTTTTGTCGTTCCTGAATGTAGTGTTCATACAAGTGTCACGAAAATCACAAAATAACCCTTTTTTTAAATTTCATTAGCTGCTTACTTAAATAAATAAACAAAAAAATCTGAAAACACATGATATTATTATTGCAGGAGGAAGAAAGAGAGGAAAGACTCTCTAATGCACACTCTAACTCCCTCATGTGGCCATACTCTATGTGACAAACAAAACGTCCCGTTTTTGTTCCACTTCATAATCTTTATTGGTTTAAAAAAAGACACATCTGATATCAGAGATTAGTTCCTGATACAACATATTTCTGCTGAAAAAAGAAAAAGAGAAACACCCAAACATTCGATCTGCTACAGCTATAACGTGTCATTAGCAACAAAATGCAAAAGGCTTCACCAGACAATTCAACCCTTTCAGTAAAGTAAGAAGTATAGTTTGATAGATGTAGTCAGCAATTCATTACTTCACCTAGATGTTGGTCTTGTTGGTCCAAACCAGAACAAGTTTCCCATCATTCCATTCTAACCATGCTGGGGTTGGGCACTACAAAAACCTCAAGTATTCTGGAAGATTTAACAGAATGACTACAAAAAAAACTTTATTCTTTACACATGCAAGTAAAACAGATTGTGGGTGACACATTGTGGAATACGTGAACTAGTTTATCATTTGTATTAAGTTACTACAGTTATGTTCCTTAACAACTGTAACCATAAACTGATAATGCTAAAGGGCAAAAAAAAAAAAAAGGACTCAGTGACTCAGCTGAGAAAATCCCCGTCAGGACCCGAGGGTAAATACAGCAAGTACATTTGTTGTCATGAAAACACACTTT